CTTTCCCTCAAATTACATACTAATTATTTTACAGATTATTTAGCAGATGGCTTTGGGAAAATTCTGGTTTATCATAAGTTGATGTTCTCTGTAATATATTTGCAAATCTATTCTTTTGTAATCACTAACCGATGGGCAAGTAGACTCGTAGTTAATTAAGATCCAAGTCTTCATTAACTTGCTCCATAAAAATAGTAAGTATAGTTTGTGAATATTTTAAAACTAATTTCTTTTTTACTTTTTGTCTTAGGGTTCTGTGGCAAAGCCTCATATAATTGTAGCAGGAGCTGCCACGGTAAGTTATACACATACAGGTTTTTTTAGTAAAAAAGGAAGTTCTAGTAGGATCACTTTTATGCTCTCAAGTTGGTTACATGATGAAGTTATTAAACCAAATTTATAATTAAAAAATTCAGTAACTCCTTTTACTCATATATATACATTAGCTATAGCTTGTTGTCCTTTCTGGACAGAGGGAGATATGAACCAACAATATGCATGTGATACATATTTTAGTAGGGCCTGTTGTGATACGACAAGAGGTAATGTTTTTAAACTCAAAGAGGGTAGATTCAGACTAGAAATAAGGAAGAAACTTTTTATGATGAGAGTAGTGAAACACTGGACAGGCTTCCCAGAGAGGTGGTAGGTGTCCCATCCCTGGAAACATTCAAGGTCAGGTGGGACAGGCCTTTGAGCAACCTGATCTGGTTGCAGATGTCTCAGATAGAGATGGTTGAGATCCTAACTAGATCTAGTTGGAGATGTCTCCCTGCTCATTGCAGGGGGGGTTTGGAGGTCCCTTCCAACTCAAACTATTCTATGATGCTCAGCTCTTTGTAACACCAACATATTTACACAAAACATTCATAGCGATATCTGGAGCTGGCCAAAGATAAACACCTCCTGTTCTAAGAGACTTGTGCTTGAAAATAAAAAAGTGCTTCAAAAATCAGCAATGTTACTGTGGCTAGTACTGATGTGTAACCTGCTTCTAGATGAAGCTGGTGTGTGCCCTTGGACTTGTCAGCATTTTGAAACTCAGCTGTATCTTTAACTTAGTTCTCTCTTTGGCCTGGACATGTCTATCTTAAGATGTCAACTGTGTAACAGTTTATAAATAGAAATCTTAGAAGCTGGAGAAGCTCCAGCTAGTACAAAACTCAGTTGTTTGCTTATTTTGGGAAAAGGGGATGCTCTGAGAATGTCACTGCAGTGCTCTGCTGCTTAGTTCCTGACTTCCTGTTGAATAGAATATGCTTCCATCTGTTTAAATGCTGTAGATATTTCACCAGTAAAGATTTAGCTGCTGGGAGAAACTGGTTTGTTTGGTTTTGTTTGTTTTTTGTTGTTTTTTTTTTTTCCCAGAGTGTGAGTTCTCAGAGCAGCTGTCTGTTATTTGGATTCATGAAGGATTCATTTATATTTGACAATATTCTCAGGAAGCAGATTAATTAGTGTACTTGGCTTACATCAATATTTTTATTTAGATATTTAGAAATAACTGGAGAGTTCACTACATTCAAGCTAGATTATTTTTAATATATTTTTACAGATTTTGTCTAGATCAGTATAGATACAGTAATACTTAAAAAAAAAAAAAAGCTAAATCCTTCTTTCCTACAGTGTGGAAAATTCAAGTTGAATATTACAAATGCAAGTTGAATATTACATGTTCCACATTTAAATGGTCTGTTTGAATGTAACTATCAGTCTAGAGAGCTACTTGGTCCAAAAGAAATTTTGTAGCACTTCAAAAGTGAAGTCTGAAGAAATAATCTAGCTTTATAATGAAAAATAGCTCCTAACGGAGCAATGGAGTCAGTTAATTAAAGGTTGTCAGACATACAGGTTCTGAGTCTCTTTCTTTATTTCTCCAGTGGTCTATCAAGATTCACAATGGCAGCAATGAAGCCCTCGCACAATATAAAATCAATATCACTTCAATTGCACCTCTTTTGGAAAAATTAGCAAAAAGTAGTGATGTTTACTGGGTCTTGCAAGGTAAAGTAATGAACAGCAGGTAACAATCTGTACTGTCATTGTCTGTTGAATCATTATCTTGTAGGCTATGGAAAACTTAGTCCATACTACTTAATCAGAGTGAAAAGGGTGCTGGTTGAATTCCAGTCTGGCCTTTTTGCAGCCTTAACTAGCTGATAGCTAACAAGCTGTTACTAGCGATGGAGAGTTTAAAGCTTGCTCAGGAAAATCTTTTGCCTTCTGAACTCTTAATTCTTCGTTAGCTCACTCAGACTCAGCATGCCCTGTGTGTTCTCCCTGTGCTGTGTCTCCCGGGAGACAAGAACACGAGTGCATAAAACAGATATATTCCCATGTTTGTGTTCTATTCAGTTTTCAGTTTACACAAACAATAGGAGAGGTTCAACAAATGACTCCTCTCTCTGTGTCCAGAATGAGTAGACATGCTCTGGAGAATTTAATTCTCTACAGTGAATCTTGCTTCTGTACACTGAGGACCAATGAGTTAACATTAGGGGCCAGAAATTATGGTTCAAAATGAGTCTGTGATATTTTTAGTGTGCCACCAAGCTTACATTCTTTTGATTTACTTCAATAAAACTAAGGTATGTCTCTTGACACAGATGTTTTACCTATGAGCTTATAGTAGAATAGCTCCTGGTTTATCTGCCATAGAATACAGCATTTTGGATTATCATCACCTCAGCTAGAAACATAGGCAGATTTTGAGCCTGTACAGGAATATACCCAGCTGTACCCTTACAGTCACAGCCAAGTTCCTATCAAAAGATGGTTCTAGAGGTTAACCTGAATCAACAGATTAATCTTATTGCATTCCTTCATCTGTAACAGAAGCAATTAGCTGTCAGACGTGTCCCAACTTTTTGTTAATACAATCCAGTCCATTTAAGTAACTTCTGAGCTCCTTCATGGAACAAGAGGAAAAACAGTCTGTACAGGTAGACTTGTCTAGACATTGATTGTCCAAAAGTAGGAATGAAGTAGTTAATCAACTTACAGCTTGTAGAGTGTGTTTCACCAGAGCTATGAACATCAGTAGCTTTTCATAGCAGTGTACTGATCTCCAGGTGACCTTTTGCTCTAGAACCCCGTGTAGCTTTGTCTTAAGCGCTACATAATTTCTGAAACTTGCAGGAAGAGTGGTGGCCCATTCTTCTGAAAAACTGAAGTTCTACCATCAGTTAAACTACGATCAACAGAAGAAAGTGGAGTATGCTTGTGGACTGTGACTTAGAGAAATGAGAAGTTGGTCTCTTCTGCAGTAACTAGAGGGTTTGAGAGAGTTTTTTGGGTATTTTTTGCACCTGTCTATTCTGCTGCCTGTCTTCTGTCCTCTTGGCTTTGCAGTCTTTACTGAGAGAAGGTATAGGCAGCTCTGCACTCCAGTACAATAAGCTCTTCATGGGTTTGGGGAAATTAAACAGGCATTCATGTCTGGCTAAAGCTTTCTAATTTCTAATTACATGTGCATGACCAGGGAATGGCGATAGGAACATTTAATCACAAACAACTCTTGTCAGTACTCTAGTTACTGTAACAGTCACTCATTCCTCATCATGCATTTTTTCTGTACCGTTAAAAAATTGTGAGTACCTAAATGAAAGTAACTTGCACAGCTTGAGCTAAGTATTTGTCAACAAAGTAGATTGATGTGCCCATTCTTTGTCCTTTCAAATTCAGACCCTGTTTATGAAGATATGCTGAGTGAAAGTCGGAAAATGATCACTAATGAGAAAATAGATGCTTATAATGAAGCAGCTGTTCGTATTCTGAACAGCAGCTCCCGAAATTCCAAAGCTAAAGTTAAAGTATTCAGTGTATCAAAATTGATAGCACAAGAAACTATCATGAAGTCCACAGATGGCCTCCATCTCCCTGAATCAAGCAGAGATACAGTAAGTCTTTTTGTCACTTCTCACCATTGAAAAGTAGTAATAGTAAAACAAGATTTTAAGTGAATGTTCTGAAGTGGCTGACAATATGAAAGTAATGAGGACTTGTGCATTCTGTAGGAAATTGTGTTCAGAAGATCCCAATAGGTGGGGTGGCAGTCAGTATACAGGATGTTTAAAAAACATAACAGCAAACACATGAGTACGTAGCTATTTTAAAGTAGGTGTTAATCCACTAGATCTTTTAGATTTAGAGTGCAAACTTTGTGCCTTCATCTGCATGAATGTGTTAGGGTGATAATGATTTGTAAAGCAGTGCTAAGAAAGAAGTCTTAAATTTTCTCTTATGTGCCCGTATAATTTTGTTTAGTAAAGAGTAAGAAAACACATAATATGCACCTTCCTGGTTGCATGGAGTGCCACTGACTTCCTTATCTTCTCTTTAACCTACCAATACATATATGCAGGCAGTGAGCCCCTCTGAGCTTTGTCAGTTTGCCCTTCTTGAATAAGAGCTGTCCTGCTGTGTCACTTTTTTTTTTTTTGCAACCAGGAGAGAGAACCCTTCTGTTGCAAGGACTAAGATTAGGTCTGTTTGCTTACCTCAAGTAGCTCGAGGGTTTCTTTTTTGGAAGAGGTGTTTTGACTGTGCTGTTGAATGCAAGTAGGTATATGGGGGTACTGTGAAATTTTATCTATGTAATGTTAAGGGACAATGTTTTATGTCATTGCATGATATGGAAGAAAATTTCTGAAGATGAAAATGTTAACTTTTTAGTTAGAGATTGACAAAACTGCTTATTTCTTTGACAGAATGCGATGATTCTTATGAATGTCTACTGCAACAAGATAATGAAGCCCATTGATGGCTCCTGCTGCCAGCCTCAGCCTCCTCTCACTCTGACACAGAAGTTGGCTTTCTGTTTCTTTACTTTGTCCATTATTGGATATTTCATTATCAATTTAATTCATCGGAATAATCATCGGAAGAACAAATCATGCACTGATTTGGAAAGTGGAGAGGAGAAGAAACTTGCCATCAGCACTCCTAATGTTTCAACTTTAGAGATGCTCTTACACTCCTTCTGCAAACTTGGTCTAATCATGACCTATTTTTATCTATGTGACAGAGCAAATCTTTTCATGAAGGAAAACAAATTTTATACACATTCATCTTTCTTCATACCAATCATCTATATCTTGGTTTTGGGGGTATTTTATACCGAAAATTCCAAAGAGGTAATGATCATGTTGACATCCAGCTTATAACATTGCTTCTCAGTTTCAGTGTTAATAACTAATTGCTAAATATTGAAAGTTAAATTCATCTGAAAAAAATACACTCCCAAGGAATATAACACTTAGATTAAACAGCTTTTTGAAGGCATTCGGGCTTCAAAATGGCTTTTAGCCATTGTCACGCAGTCAAATTGGAAGTGAGCGCAGCTCGGATACAAGAGAGTGTAGATCATGTTAAAATGTGGGAGACCTGTGTCTGCTACACGGGAGACTTTTACAAGTGAGACCTGTTTACCCATAAAGTGGTTTATTGGTTTAAACTTTTTCTCCTCATTTTGTAGACGTTTGTTGTACTTTTTGGAATAGCAACACTCTTGTTTTGTTTTGCATTAGACTAAAGTGTTAAATAGAGAACAGACTGATGAATGGAAGGGCTGGATGCAGCTTGTTATTTTGATTTATCATATCTCTGGAGCAAGCACTGTAAGTGGTTTTAATTTCATATTTTTTTTAAGTGGGAATGCAATTTGAGTATATTACTTCAAAAGAAGACAAATGTGTATTAGAATTTAATTAATAACTAATGCTATTTTTTGTGTAGTTTTAAAAATGTTATTATCAAAATTAGTTTTTCTATTTATGTGTAGATTTCATTGATAAGAGCATTTTATGCATTACTTAACCATTGAAAAAATATACTTGTTTCTTCCATGTAGAATATTACATTATTTTTAATTGCTACCAACACTTCTTTTGTATGTTCTGAACTTGAAACTGCTGAAGGTAACCTTTCAAAGAGCCCTTCTTAAGTCTCTCTTAACTGGTAATCGAATATGGAAAGTGTAGAGCAATGAAGAGGAGAAATTCATTTTAACATCAGAGAGGTTAGGGCACCAAAAGAGCTCAGTGAGAAACAGGGCAATGTAGCATAATGTTTCTTTTCTTAGTTAAACCTGATTTACAGCAGTGCAGAAAAGGCGTGAAATAAGTGGGGAAAAAAAGGGAAAGTCAAAAGCATTTGTGTGGCTGTTTGTAAAAGGCACTTTATTTTTCTCAACAGTTTTTGCCTGTGTACATGCACATTCGAGTTCTGGTTGCTGCATATCTGTTCCAAACAGGTTATGGGCACTTCTCATATTTTTGGATAAAAGGGGACTTTGGTGTATACAGAGTGTGTCAGGTAAGAATATCTACTTACCGTTTTTATAAAGAAATTTGTTCAGATAACAAAATGTCCACAATATATCTGTACTCCCTAAATAACGTGGTATCGGATTACTTAACCAAAGTTTGAGCATTAAAAATGGCTGTTGTTTCTATGTGATCTGACCTGCTTAATTGACAGTGTTTATGTAATACAAACATACAGCATATAAATGACACTTAAAATGTACAAAATGTAAGTATATTTGCTTTAAAATACACAGTTCATGTGTATCTTCTGTCTTCTCTGACACGCTCTAGGTTTTATTTCGTCTCAATTTCTTGGTTGTGGTACTGTGCATAGTGATGGACCGACCTTACCAGTTCTACTACTTTGTGCCATTAGTCACTGTCTGGTTTATCATTATTTATGCCACCTTAGCTATATGGCCTCAGATAGTCCAGAAGAAAGCAAATGGTAAGATTATTTTTTATAAGTTCTGCTATAAAACGTTTGCATGTTACAACAAAGATGACCATACAGAAAATGGTATTGTTAGCACATCCCGATCTCTTTGTAACATTGTCAAAATATGTTAACGAGGCTGTTCACAGAAATATAGTTTGTCATAGGTGAATTATGTCAGTTGAAAAATGTAACAGCTGATAACTAAACTCTGTTTCTGGTTACAGTCATATTAGAATACTTTTTAATAGGTTTTGACCACCAGAAATATGTTTTATCAAGAGCTGTAATGTTACTGGATGCAAACTAAAAACCTGGGTCACACTCTGTGCTAGCTGAGATTGCTGCTGTGGTGTACTCATGGGTATGGCATCAGCAGTCAGCCTTTAGGCTTTCCCATTCTGCGCTGCCAGCTTGTCTCATCCCTCCCAAGCTCCAATTCTGCCATATCCTGCCAAATAAGAATGTGGGGCTTTTTATCTCATTATCTTAGATTAAGTGAACTATCAGAAGTATGTCTTGCAGTATAGGTATTTTAAATAAAAATCGAAGTAAAATCCCAGTGTAATTTATGCATTGCAGTTCATTGAAAAGCTGTCACCGTGGTAAATGCTTATTATTTAATTCACCTAAATTAGAACTAAAACCTTAAGACTCCTAGGTCTTCCTTTCATATGGATGAAGTAATATCCAGATTTTTAAGTCTGCAGATATGACAAATATACAAATGCATGCTAGGAATAGATGCTTGTCGAGGTTTAGGGCTGGGCCGGCCACTA